TGAAATAAAGTCCTGCTGTCAGGGTCTCATTCATGTCGAGCAGCCTGCAGGTTTCCACAGTCGTGTCGGCCTGATGAGGAGGCGGAGGCAGAAAATAAGAGCTGATCAAAGGTTCTGGAACATCTTTAATCCTCTGGTCCTCTTCCATTCTGCCATTCTGAGCTTCAGCTGAGCTCTGAAACCTCCCAGTCTTTTACTTCTGGTCTCTCCCTGCTGACTGCTGCATCCTTTTGGACACTCAAGCTAGTTTCAGAGACAGTAGTTAAGGCCAGAGGCCGACACAGTGGATCTCTAAGTCTGCAGCTGATTTCAGCCAACATTCCCTCATCTTGTACTCTTGATTTAGCACCTCCTCATACTTTTGGTATTCCATAATCTCGTGACTCTTCTTGCATATTTCATTCTAATAATACACAGCAAACCAGTGAATTTCATTCTGAACTGTGTTTATGGGATGAGAAGATGAAAGTAATCAGAGTTTCCCAGGGAGTAGTCTTTCAGGCTGTTGTGACAGGCTCCTCTAGTGGTTGCTGGTGGTTCAGCTTGTGTTTTTGTCTTTGTTGATCTGTGGTAAAAATCAGCAGCATGAACGATGGTTACGTACAGTAACCCAAGCTTCTATGAGTATAGGCGTAGCCCTCTAAGAGCTGTCGCTATTGGGTTTATCCCTCGCGCATGCACAGTCCTGAAGAGATTCTTTCACGCCCTGTACCCTGCACTGGGCTGTCCTCAATTAGGTCCGCAGCAGCAGTATAACTGCCACTGTGACCTAGCTCGCCTCCCTAAAAAAAACAGCACTTTTTCTTCAGCTAATGAGGGCGGAGACAGCAGGGTCGCCGGCTTAGACTGTTTGTTCTGCGCAGCCCATGGGAGGGCGCTGAAGAAAGGGCTGAGGGGGAAAAAGCGCCCTGTGTTCAGCTTCATCGTTCACCTCCTGTGTTGGAGAGAAACCGCCGCTTGTATGCACTAGCGGGTGAGGGGAGGCCACATAGACTCACAGGCAACTTCGTGTCAAATAGAGCAGCAGTGTCGTGCTGTGAGGAAGAGGAGGGGGTGAACGTGTCCCCCAGCGCAGTGTGCGTGGGAAAAGAGACATTGTGTGGGGAGACGTGTATGTGGGACGTAAAAAACCAGAGGGAGAACAGCTGTCAGGAAACTGCTCTTTATTCAGCAGGTGGTGGCCCTGAAAAGGGCCATTGATTCCAAGAGCTGAATCACACACGTTCCCCACGCCCCATCATTGCCGTCTCTGTTTACGGAGGGGGCATGGATGAGGGGTCGACCAGGTGTCGGCCGCTCGTCACCCCGTGCGGGCCCGTCTAGAGGTGTCCGGTCCGGGGGGCGAGGCGAGAGGAGGAGGAGCGGGGTCAGGCGGAGGGGGACACTGTAGTGCGGTGGCAGCAGAGGCTGCTGGGCACCTGGCTCTGATGTCTGCCCTGGTTATGCCAATCAGGTCAGGAAGGGCAAGGTTGCTGTCGTCCCCATGACATTAGCTGACCAACCTGCTCAGCCTCATCGGCCGCCAGC